TCATAGGCTCGGTTCATTTTGCTAAGATATCTTACATATTGACCGAGATATACGGTACAAAGCCAACCGGAACTTTGGAAATCTTATATAATGTACAAGATTAACAAAAAAAAAATGCTCTCTGAGCTTCACTAAAGTACCTCACATGCCATCACCAACGGAGTAAAGCCAAACGGATGTTTAAAAATCCTGGTAATAATTATATGAGTGCTAGAGCCACTTTTCACCCCATTTTATCCATTTTATGAGGGTTGCCTTTTATATTTCCGGAATAGAGAAAAAAAAACAAATAATAATCATCGAAAATCGCTTTAATGTTTTTCAAAATATTCTCTTGAACCAATTTTCGAAGCACTTTGTCACTCTGATTAAGGTATCTCGAAAACATGCATTCCGAATGAATCTATCGCCTCTTCAGATGTCGAAAACAGTTAATCTTTTAGTTTATTTTTTACGTATGGGAATAAAAATAAGGCAATCGGTGCCATGCCAGGCAACCATTTGCTGGGAAGTGCTTCGTGAGCGAAAAACTTTTGTTGGATTCGGCTCATCTGGAAACACCCAAACAGTCGACTGCTGTTCACTATCGGACTCATAGGCGTAAATCCACGATTTATCACCTGTCACGATATCATAGACGTGTTTCGAAACATCGCCATCGTATTTTTTTTTTTAACATTTCTCTCGAACAACCGATGCGAGCATTTTTAGAGCAAATTTGAAAATTGCGTGAGATCGAACCTTAACAAATTTTTAAGCTATTGCATAGCTTCTATCGCGGTCTTTGAGCGAATCAAGAAATTCCGTAACGGAAATAAACCTAATACAATCACAAAGTATGTGCAAAATATAATATTTGCTTTTCGGCGTATTTTCGCATTTTCAATAAAAAAAAAGAATTTAATAAAAATTTAATTAATAATAAATAAGTTATTCAATATTCGAAGTCAAAATATTTGTAACATTGTTATTATTTTGGTAAATAGCTATCCCACCTTTTGGAACAGTATCTCGTTTGATTTGAACAATACAATTGAACTTTGGTATTTCAATCGGATTATCAATGGTAATAAATTTCCACTTATCTTGCCTGGCGATTTTCAAAGTGGCAAGTGTCAAAGTTCAGGAGGACTGACGTTTAGCAATTGGAAAAAGAAGGAAGGACAGATTGATATCCTAAAAAAAAAATGTGTGAACAAAGAGATTTGTTGCTGTTGTTAAATATCACTAACAAAAATTGGATTAGAATGAAAATTAAAGAAAACGGAAAATTGAAATGTATGTGATGAAATCTTTTGTGATGCCATGCTTAGTAGTGTTAATTTTCAATTGAAATTATAAAAAATCATTTATTAATTGAGTGCTAATACATTTGTTCTTAAGATTAAGTATTGAAAAATCAAAAGTCAATTGTTTTAATATATTAAAAAATCACAAAAAGGGTTTAAATAGTTTCTGCATGTTTAACGGATGCATGTATAATAATATTTAATCTTAGTAAATGTTGGGTATTTTAATTTTAATTCTCAAAAATTATTATTTTGTCCGATCTGGTTACAATGGAAAATTATATAAAAAACGATAATTTTGAGGCGTTCCCACACTTCAATAAGCATCTCTTTATCCCTGGTTTCAATGATAAAATTTCGTGAATAGCCTACATGTATTGTAAGACAATAAAAATATTTAAAAGAATATTAACTTCTCATTTATTCAATAAACGAAATGAATTTGTTTACTTAGCGGTAACCACGCTCAAAAAGTGTAACTTGAATTAATATCAAAGAAAAAACTTTAATTAATATCAAAGAAAAAATACTGCATAAAAAATATATAAATAATTATAATTGCATAAGTTCATAAAAACTATTGCATAGCATTTTACTGCGGTAGTCCTCGAGTGCCACACGTACATTTACATCTCTTTATTTATTGAATCTGCTTGTTCAAAGCCTAACAGCAAGTAATAAAATCTTAAATCTAATTAAAACCAGACAAGCTCAAGGTTCTACTTGAGCCTGTTTGGTGATACGTTTACAGTCAAATGTTCATGCAATATTGAATGTGTGTGAGTCCCACTAATGACTACACTTGTCTCAATCTCACGATAGGTCGGATAACGATCTTGCAATATCTGTTTGAGCAGAGCATCAATAGTTTACGGAACAACAACAAAGGGAATTCACGTCTTAAGTATTTCTTTGAAGCTATCAAGCGGGTAGGTATTATGCATATTGTTCTACCACATTAATGCTAATTCACTGCAAGCAAAATGTGAGACCATCATCCCAACATCCAAATGAAATATGCAACACACTCTAAGTGTCGCGTTGCCGAACCGCACAAGCATAAACCGCTATACCGGCAGCGCTGACCGCCCGTCATAAAATTTTTTTTTTGCTTTATCTAATCGCGATCAGTCAAATTTTTTTGCGGATTTCGTTACTTTAATGTTTATTGCAAAATACTAAAAAAAAAAATTTCATTTCTTAACTTAAAAGTTAATTAACAATTTGAAAAAAAAATTATTTAAATTCATACATATTTTCTCAAAGTACAAGTTTTGAGCTATAACTCCTAAAAATTTCATTAAAAAATAACCAATAGTTTTCTAGTTATTAATTTTTTAACTAAAAGTAGTAAAAATTTTCAATTAAAAAAAATTGTTGTTAAAATTAAAATTTAAAAAACCTGAGCGGGGGATTACTTGCTCATGATGACTACTTTACGAAAAAATACTCACATTCAAATTCGATGATCAAGTGGAAAATGGGGGGTCCACTTGACGTGTTTTTACTCAGTTATTAAGAAAACTAGTTCTCTTAATTTCATTACGATAACTCACATATTGGTCGATATATGCGGTATAAAGTCAACCGGAAGTTCTAAAATCCTTATATTAGGTATATGGAGGCTAAAGAAGTATTGACCTAATTCAATTCATTTTCTACATACAGACATACTATTATCAAGAAAAGATTTTTGACTAATTTTAATAATATTGACCGACATTTTCGATAAAAAGTTTGCATTAGGTACCTGGTATACCCACATTCGCTACCTGGGGCATTAAACATATGTAGTCCGATTTTCACAACTTTTGATCATAAAGGCACATCTTAAATGCACTATTTGTGCAAAATTTTTCCATACAGAAATAATCAGATTGACTTTAAAATTTTTATATATGGGAAGTAGGCGGGGTTGTCATCCGATTTCATTCATTTTTTAACCGTATTATAGGAATTTTGACATCAACTCCTATAAAGTTCTCTTTTACTATGCCGTATGTCAAATTGGATGTCTCTAACGCATTTAATGATTGATTTATCGCACTTTAAGTAGTTTGTAACAAAACCATTATATGGGTAGTGGGCTGGGTTATCATTCGATTTCAGCTATTTTCACACTGTCATAAGAGGATTATGCTGTGAAAATTTGGGTCATATAGCTCGAATGGTTTGTGAGATATATGCATCAAACCTATTAGGGGCGGGGTCACGCCCACTTTTCAGAGAGTTTTAGTCCCCTCATTAATGCGATACGTTGTGCCAAACTATAGCTTTGTATGTTAATTTGCGGCTTAGGCAATTTATAGATTTTTGATTAATGACGTTTTGTCGGCATGACAATGGTCCGATTCCGGCTATCTACAATACCGAACTTCTTATGGTGCCCAGAAACATGTGTACCAGGCTCAAATTACAGCTTGCACGGACAGACGAACGAACGGACAGATACTCAATCTCTAGTAGTTCTAGGTGTTACAAGCAATCATTAGGTGAACAAAACTATTATAGATACTCTGTAGCAATGTGTTGCGAGGATATAAAATGCAGAAAAACTCGAGCTTTTAAACATGAAAAAATTGGTTTGAAACTGGTTTATTAAACATGCTATTATTCCTTCAACAGTCATTATTGATCCCATTGCATAAAAGTAGATTTAGGTCATATATTGACAGTTATATGGATATTACAAAACTATCAACAATACCTAAAATTTTTGAAGCTATTATTGCTGACTAAATAATTTTTTCAATTTCTCTATAAATTTCTTGTCCCCACCATGGATTTCGTAAAGAGAAATCTGCTCTAACAAATTTGCTTGAATTCGTAAGCCATGTATCATTGGGTTTTAGGGATCATAAGCATACTGAGCTTAGAAAAGCTGTCGATAAAGAAAATCTCTCGACTGTCCTACATAAACTTGAGCTTCTTGGCTTTCAGCCAAGTTTTCTTTAATGAGTATCTTCTTATCTTTATTATAGAACACAACGAGTGATATTTGAGGATACACCTTCAGATACAATTAATGTCTCTTCAGGTATTGCGCAAGGTTGTCATCTTGGCCAGCTTCTGTTCTTGTTATTGATTAACGATATCTCTTCTGTATTAGAGAACAAAAATGTTATTATATGCTGATGACGTAAACCTTTTTAAATCATATACTTCAACTGAGGAAAGGTGTCGGTTGCAAACGGACTTAAACAACTTGGTTGCTTGGTGTGATAGAAACGATTTGTCATTTGTCACCCCTCTCCCTATGTAATAAAAACCTATAGAGCAAGGTTTTAACCTTGTTGATTTGGGAGGATCTATGGACCCTAAGATTTATTTTAGTCTTCATATATATACCATGGTTTTGAAATAAAAAAAATTTTTAGTTTTGTTAAACGCTGGTCTAATGAATTTAGAGATCCGTATGTGTATAGGTAAGTAGGTAGAGTTGCTATCTGACGACGCACCTAGGCCTTTAGGAGCAGCGTTGCCAACCTGTGGGGAATTCCCCAAACTGCGGGGAATTTCAAGTTGGTTGGGGATTTATTGGGGATTGGCATTATGTGGGGAAAATGCGGGGATTTTGACATCATATTCTCATCGGAAAATATTTCATCGTTTATTATCGATAACAACATTTTTTTAAATCATTAAGTATAATCGTGACGAAAAATCAAAATACCGGTAATTGCACATCTCTAATAGAGAGAGATTCTCTATGTATGGCACATCCCTAGTTTTTCAGTTGTCTGTCTTGTCTTGTCTATGACCAGGGGATTCCCTTTTTCTTCTTTATTAAATGTTTTATTTTGTGACTGATAAATGGATGATTGAACATGTAATGCATTCATTGGCTTCGTTCGTTGTTGTTCGTAGTTAATTAGTAGATCCAAGTTTAAAAAGTTGTGTTTTGTTTCTGTCGCAAAGTAACGATACGATTTTGTGCAAATATGGAAAAATGGTTATTAAAAGGTCCAAACAAAAATAAAGAAGATAATCCTAAGGTAAGATAATTAAACCTAATACAATATATGTTTTTGCTGCGCCCAAACTTTGTTATTTATCCGGTTAATTTACCAAGTTTTTTTTTTAGCTTAAACGTAAAAGAGAATCTGGGCTCGAGTTATCGGAGGCGTCAACTTCTAGTACAGAAGGAAATGCCGCGCCAATTTCAAGTTTGACTTTAGTAAATTTGACCACAAGTGAGTCAAATAGTACACAGATCCTAAAAATGAAACGCTTGAATAAATTTAATGATTTGTGGCTTAACGAACCAAACTTCTCAAGCTGGTTATGCAAAAATTCGAATATGAGAGATGGAAATGATTTAGCAAATTGTAAACTCTGTTCGGTGTCGATCCTAGCGCATAAAAGTGACCTGATTCGACATATGAATTCAGAACGCCATAAGAAAAAAGTATCAGAAGTAAAGAACGTTCCCAAACTTTCAACGTACTTGCCAGTGACGGATTTAGACATAAATGTTCGAAAAGCTGAATTAAAACTAGCCGGAGCGTTGGCTGAAAATAACATACCAATATCATTCATGGAGACCTTGGGACCGCTCTGTAAAGATATTTTTTCAGATTCAGCTATAGCTAAGAACACAATTTTACACAGAACTAAAGCAACAGCTATACTTAAGAATGTTTTAGGAAACACATTTTTAGAAGATATAAATCAAAAATTACGTACAGAAAAAAATTTCTTCTCATTTATTATGGATGAAACGACGGATCAGAGCTCTTTAAAACAATGCTGTTTTACTGCTGTAATCTATGATGAAAACACCAATCGGGTAGAACATTTGTTTTTGGATATGGTGGAAGTGTCATCAGGAACTGCTGCGGGACTGTATGACTGTTTGAAACAAATGCTTCTAAATAAAAACATACCCATAGAAAACATAGTTGGCTCTGGTGAAATGCTCCTGTCACATGATACACTTATCATCATCGAAAGCTTGCCTCAAATTACCCTTCAGTAGAAGTTCAAAAAGGCAAATACAATTGAAAGAGTTTCAGGAATTCTTTCAAGTGGAAATACACAAAATTCTCGCGCCAGCTCAGACTCGTTGGCTGTCCCTGAAAGCGTGTGTAGACCGTGTGTTAGAGCAATATATTCCATTAGAAGCCTACTTGACAGAAACAGTGTTCACTGATCCATCGAAGACTACCGAAAAAATGCTCATTACAATGAACAACCAATTCACTGTCGTATATTTAGAATTCATGTCTTATGTACTTTCACTGGCAACAAGCTTCAACACCTTGTTTCAATCAGAAACAGCCCTTCTTTACAAATTGAAACCAGAAGTAGAAAATCTTTTGAAAACACTCTCTGCTAATTTCATGAGAATAAGCTACATCAAGTCCTGTGCTAATATTTTAAATCCTGACTTCAGAAATCCAACACACTTGCTAGGTTTAGACGAAATATATATTGGATTACAGGCTGGAGAAAGTATGCAAGATTTGAAAAAAGATGAAAATGTACCTCGTGCAGCTATCACAGATTTCTTTAAGACATGCCAAGAATTTCATATGGAATTTACGTCGGACATTAGTAAGCGATTTGATTTCGGAGATCCTTTATTTTCTATTAAAACAGTTTAAAATTTAATCACTGGTGCCTGTACTGGAGCGATTTCTAGTGCTTTATAAATTTGGACGATGAGTGGCGAGCTCACGCTATGCTGGATTTTCATCAACATGGGCTTGAAGTTCATGGAGATAACATTGATGCTGAATGTTACTGGGGTAAAGTGTTTTGATAAAAAACGCTGCGGGAGAATACCTGTTTTCAAACATGAAAATTGTTATTTCATTATTGTTGATATTGCCTTTTTCAAATGCATCAGTCGAGCGCAAATTTAGTGTCCGTAAAAATTTAAAAACTGAAAACCGCATAGATTGAATACAGATACTGTAGTATCATTAATGGCTACAAGGGAAGGGATTAAAAAACTGGGCGGCAGTGTCATGTTTAACCCTTCGAACAAAATGCTTTTGACTAATATATGGAAAAAAATATAAGAGATAAACAATAAATATTATTTAAATTATTGATTATTGTTTCATTTTATAAAAAACTTTTGAGGGGAATTTGTGGGGAATCAGCGGATTTTTATCCCCAAATTTGGGGAATTTTGGAGAGTGCCTATTCTGAGTAGTTCATCTGCTTCACAGTTACCAGAATTATCACTATGTCCTAGAACCCATTGAAGGTTTATCGGAAAATAGGACGTTAGATCCACTAAGAGATTAAGGCATTCCATCACTATCTTTGACGAAACCCTAAGAACCCAAACCATTTAATGATTTAAACCGCTTAGTTTAGCTTTGACACGCTCCTTGTCAAAACAAGAATTTTTTTTTAACTGCTGGGATCTCCGCTTGGAAGACACCGCAGTGATCTGGTAGCCGGAAGGCGATTTTGGTGTCTAACTTTGTTGAAAAGATACCACTTTTCACTCGATTACCTAGTTTGAACCCAATCCGTATAGATGCTTATCCCTGTCCACCTAGTCCTTTTCCAAATCTTCTCTGGAAGGAAAGGTAATATTAGGGACCCAATTTAAATTCAATTCCATAGGATTACGAAAATTCGTGATATTGGATAGAAACGGGAAATTACTGAGTAATGCCCCTTATTACAGGCGATTAATAGGGAGGATTCCCTCAGTCTAAGAGCTGACTTTACTGCCAGTTGCTTACAGAACAAGTCTGTTGGCAGTAAATGTAAAATGACGTTTAGTGCCTGACTTGGCGTTGTTCTAAGAGCTCCGCTGATGCATATATTAGATCAAGTAAAAAGTTCGTTCGGTTTTTATCTAAGAGATGGCGTTATTGTCCATAGTACTAGTGTTACGTGTCGCATCATGTCATACTATACGGCGCTGAAAACGTGTTTATTCGCGCTAAAAGTTTGTCTTTGACAGTTTTTCGATTGATTTACTTAGTTTGTTGTGAGCGCTCGTCAAAGATGGACACCAACAAAGAGAAAATTCGCTATATTTTACAATTTTCCTTCGATCAAAGCGAAAAAGCAGCCAAAGCGGCTGAAAACATTAATTTAGTTTATGGGACCGATACTGTAAACGAACATGTAGCACAAAAGTGATTTGCTAGGTTCCGTTCCGGTACACGCCTCTTTGAGGAGTACCAGCGTTAAAATTATTGACTTACTCATGAGCATCTGTTCAATAAATTTCCAAAGAGGATCTCTGAACCCAAATTTTTGAGCGCGGTCAGAATGGCCTTAGGCTGGATGTTATTGAAGGCGCCTTCTATTTCTTCTCTATAGATTTTTCAGATTGAAAACTATCACTGAATTTAGTGCTGTTGCTGTGGATTTCCTTTAGAATACGCATGCTGCGAAACTGCCAGTTTTTCTAGGTTTAGTTTTGTTTCTTATATGTATTTCAATTAATCTTTCCAACGTTTTTAATAGGAATGGAGAAAGACTAAAAGATCTAAAATAATTTAGACTTGTATGTGAGCTTTTGGCCGCTTTTGGTCTATATACTTGTACTACTTTGACTCTCCTCGATAACGAAGGATCATAGTTTAATTGCTGCGCCCTGGTTACTAATCAGACTTTTATATACATAGTTCTGGGACTGTTGTAATTGAGCTGGAAATATACCATCAGGTCCCGAAAATTTTAAGGGCTTAAATTACAATGGACCATAGTTGGTGGCATGTGATGTACTTGATGTTGAAATTGAGAGCATTGTTGCTTAGATCTACACACATATTTACACCCACACCATTCGCACAAAATCATTAAAGAAAATCTGCGAGATTTCTGAAGACGGATACGATCAACTGGTTGGTTACTGCAAAACTCGGTTTATTGGCTTGAGAGAAGATTTGGGGAAATCATTAGAATGTTCCAACCTTTGAAAACGTATTTCGACGACCTTCCTTCACCCTTCAAAAAAGCCAGATGTAATCCACTATCGAAGCTGTGGTTAATTTTTTTTCATGAACAGGTGAAAATATATTTTTATTAACTGAAATTTTTCCAAAATTAAGAAATTATTTAATAACTATCTCATTAATTTTAGGCCATGATTTTCGAAGAAACAATAAAGAAAATTGAAGGCGATGATATTCCAGCAGATGCAATTTACAAACACTTGCAACATTCAATGAACAATTTGCAAACATCCAACCAACACAATAACTTTCCGTTGCAGAAATGGAGAACCTGAAGAAAGAAAACTATGACTTGAAGCAATTTTCATTTTCTCATTTTTAATTGTGTTTAATATGTAAATCAGGTGATTGCTACTGTTTAAATTAGATAGCCTCCCCTCTTACGAACGAATCCTGTACATCATAAATCTTAATTTTTATTTTATTTTATTATTTGACATTTTAGCTGATCTCAATTCTAGCATATTTTACTCTCTGAAATAAATAAAATATTTCAGAAAAATATGTTTAGGTTTATTGAATATTCCCTTATTGATGCGTATTTATACAAATGTGAAAATCACACATACACTCATAAATACACGTACGCTGATGTCCTTGTCCCGCACAAACCACTACTTTTTCTTCACTTTTTGCTTTTTACGAGAACAGCTAAAACGAAGCAAGTTGAACGATCGCAAGCAAAGAGGGGTCAGGGGGTGCACTACCGCATAATTGTTTCAGGCATATTTTAATTAATCTAGTTTATTATGTGTATTTATATTTTTACGTAAATATTTATTATAGTATTATGTAAATAAGCCCTAAGATATCAGTATTTCTCAATACAAATTTAACAATATAACAAGTAAGGAAGGGCTAAGTTCGGATGTAACCGAACATTTTATACTCTCGCAAAGTCAAATGGTATACTCGTTTGAGATTTCTTTGTGGATTGACAGATATTTTCGGTAGAAGGTCAACTATAGGCACTGGGGTCCACATATTTAGTACTTAGGGGTTTGAACAGTTTTGGTTCGATTTAGACAATTTTTGGCCGCAAGGTGGCATACTTTAATTGCATTATTCACGCAAAGTTTTACCCCGATATAATCATTGTTACCTGATTTGCATAGTGGTAAGTGAAAGAATCAGATGGAATTAAAAATGGTGTTACATGGGAAGTAAGCGTGGTTGTGGTCCTATTTCGCCCATTTTCGCACTATGACATAAAAACATGAAAAGAACGTTATGCACCGAATTTGGTTGAAATCGGTTGAGCAGATCTCAAGATATGGGTTTTCACCTAAAAGTGGGCTGTGCCACGCCCACTGACTAATTTTGAACGCGGTTCCTATAAAGCCAATTTATACCATCTCAGAGATAAAATTTAATGTCTCTGGCGTGTTTAGTGCTTGATTTATCGCGCTTTTAGTAGTTTTTAACAGTACCGTTATATGGGGAGTGGGCGGAGTTGCCACCCGATTTCAACTATTTTCACACCGTCAATAGAAGTGCTAAAAACATTTGCTTCCAGTGAATTTTTTTATTATAGCATTAGCAGTTTAGGAGATATGCACATTAAACCTATTAGAGGCGGGACCACGTCCACTTTTAAAAAAAAAGTTTTAACTGCAGATGCCCCTCCCTAATATGATCCTGTGTACCAAATAACAGTCTTGTATCTTATTGCGGAGCTTAGTTATGGCAAGTTATTTGTTTTTGATTAATGGCGTTTTGTGGGCGTGGCAGTGGTCCGATTACGCCCATCTGCAATACCAACCGTCTCACGGTACCAAGAAACATGTCTACCAAGTTTCATAAAGATATCTCAATTTTTACTCAAGTTAGAGCTTGCACGGACGGACGGACAGACAGTCACCCGGATTTCAACTCGTCTCTTCATCCTGATCATTTATATATATATAACCCTATATCTAACTCGATTAGTTTTAGGTGATACAAACAACCGTTAGGTGAACAAAACTATTATACTCTGTAGCAACAGGTTGCGAGAGTATAATAATATGATATAAATCCTCCGTTGAAACGCCTCTGTCCATGG